AACTTCATCTGTATAATGTAAACAGATGAAAAACTTCATCTGTATAATGATGAAAAACAGATGAAAAACTTCATCTGTATAATGTAAACATACGGTAGATGTAGACCTGTGAATGGATTCTTGATATCTTTTAAACTGTTGCCGTGGCAAAGCTTCAAACTTTGAAATTATTTTAGGATGCTTTTGAGACTCTTAGCATGCTTGAAATTGCATGAAACTCAACAGACACATCACATTTATTAGCCAGTAGACATGTGCAAAGTTTCAGAAACGGGCATGGTGCAGGGACTAAATAGCGCCACCTTTTGACAAAAGTGGGGTTGTTATTTTTATCTACAGTTACAAAAATCGTTATATACATTGTACTCCTCAAGCCAGACAACTTTCTAATTCATAGTCATTAGCTCAGACCAAGAGGAAGTCAGATATTTTGGTTTGAATATGGTGAGACTCTCTCTGAGCCTACGTCCGTGTATGGCAAGCCCTTTTAACATTTAAAAGCTAAGTTTGCCTATCCGTAAATTAACATTGTAGATATCAACAATGTCTTTCTGTCTAGTCGTAATTACATTTTGGATAGTTTGTATTATCATTTAAGATATCTGTAACATAATTGTGACTAGTCAAAATGACAGACTATGGCAAGCCGTTTTAACATTTAATCATGAAAGGGCCAAAGCCTTCGGCACCGCCACCCCGGTGCCTTTAGGTAACTAAAGGAGCCAGGGGTTGCGGTGCCACCTGCTTGGGCCCGCCATCGCTGCTCGCAGCTATATTTATTAGTTTGTGTCCTTTCTGTATAATACTATGAAATTCAATATACCTCCAGTCCACAACATCTAACTGTCAGCAATCTGGAGCACTGGCCTTCATAATGTGATTCTAATTGAACCCTTTGGATGTTCTAAGAGTGGCGACAGTCTGATTTTAAAGCATTTGACAAGTGTACAATGACTAAAGGGTTGCCTGCTAATTATTCATGTCATTTCAGTGGATTGAAGCCCAAATTGCACACTGTGTCCCTTTAAATCCATCACTGTACTAAAAGCGAATAGTTAATGACTATAACATGGCACTAAATTATTCATTCAAAGAGGTAATGAAAATATGTTAATTAGACAATTGCTATTAAAGATGGAGTATATCAGCATCTCCTTACCCAACATGAAGTAATTATTTAAAGATATTCTGATTGTGAAATATTATAGTGGTCAAGGGTGTCATGCACAGATTTGGACATCTGAATGAGTGATTTCAGCCAAAGCGTTTTAAACACTTTTCAGTGTGTGTGTGTGTTGCCTGGTAAACCCTACATTATGGGGACAAAATATCCCCACAAAGAGGGGCAATATCTGAAATCCTTGTCCTTGTGGGTACAGTTTTTGGTTCCCATGAGCAAAACATCTTATAAATCATACTAAGTGATGTTTTTTTTTTTTTAAATGTAAAAAACACTGCACGTTTTCTGTGATGGGTAACTTTAGTGTAAGGGGATATACAGTTAAGCATAAACAGTTTGTACAAAAATCAATGTCTCTATGGGAAGTCTCCATAAACCATGAAAACACAATGTGTGTGCGTGTACAATAATCATGCTTAATAATCAAATACAACTTTTTTTTTTTTTTTTTTTCAATTCTAGGAGGCACATTTGAATGGGCATTTCACTTTTGTTAGGGGTTTTAAAGGTCCCGTATGCCCCTTTTCACAAGATGTAAAATAAGTCTCTGATGTCCCCAGAATGTGTATGCGAAGTTTCAGCTCTAAATAATGAACAGATAATTTTTTACAGCATGTTTAAATTGTAATTTTTTGGGGCTCAGAAAAAATGCGCTGTTTGCCCTTTAAATGCAAATAAGCTGCTGCTGCTGCCGGCACAGGGGGCGGAGCTTCATGAGCTCGCGCTCAGTCTCTCAGGACAATTTCATCTCACAGAATGATGATAATATCAGAAACTCCCAGTAACAGTGTTCATTTCGAGTCGGACAATAATCCCTACAGAGTCAGAGTGCTGTATAGAGATGGAACAGGTATAGTTTAGTAGTTTAATTACGTTTATCATAACGTATTTGTCATCTGCTTGTATGTATCCATTATTAATTAATAGCCTACAACAAGTCTGCTGTTTCTGACCAGGTCCAAATGATGATCAAATGATGAGTTTAAGAAAGTTTATTGTACATCACACAAAAGATGAAACGTCAGTTTTACTTTAGAAAATCACTGTAAGAGCTGAGTAAACACAGTAAGTTATAAGGAGTGCACAAGTTGAGGAAGCATTCCTGTGGGCGGACCTGTTAGTCAAAAAAAAAAAAAAAAAAAAAACAGTTCTGCTGGCGTCATTAAAGAAGGAAGTAGAGGGATGTAGGCTTTTTGATGTAGGCTACTTCTGTTAAATAAAATATCTCTCTTGGCATTGAACTTTGAGCTTTATAATTTCACAGATATTATTTATACTCTAACAACAGCATTACACACTAACTAAAGTTTGAAACATGGAATCACGAAGAACGGGACCTTTAAAAATCCCAAGCACAAAAATCAGTGTCATTTTGTACAATCTCAGCATCTATTCTGCAATGTTTCATAAGAAACCTCTTGTCCCAGGCTCTAATTCAACTGCAACTAATTATGCAAAGGAAATCACACGCTCTTCATTTTTTTTTTCACCTCTCCTTTTTAATGACTTTTCCTCGGGGTAAAGCAACAGAGCTCTATTCTAGAAGTTCATGAACAGCTCAGTCAGAAGCGGTCCCTCTTTGTCCTGTCCCTCAGTGCTTTGGCTAAAGACAGTCTCTGTCCATCCCCTCAGCTGACGAGGCTGAATTCATTCCCATGGTGCTGATAATTCCAGCATGCATGCGACCTCATGGTTCAGATTACAAGCGGGGGATTCATTCCTTGTATTCTGTCGGTCACCTCGGCATCAATTGCAGCAGTAAGCAGCGTGTGGAGAGGAGAATAGATGCTATCAGGCAGAGAGCAGCTGCTGGGAGACTGAGAGTCTGTGCTTGTGCTGTGAGATAAAAAAACAATAATGTGACACAGTCCTTCAATCTGCATGTCACTGGTGACTAATGTTAATACAATACTTCCTGTTTATTGTTGACCAATTGTTTAACTTCATATAAGGTGTCAGGGCATATGATACACTCTTTTGACTTGAAGAAATACTACTTGGAAAATATAGACCTTATGCACCAGAGAAACGTGGGCGCCGTCATCTTTAGAATATTGTCTTTGAACTTCCGGTTTCGCGGTCGCTCTGTATATTTCGAGGATTAATTAGCTGGTGAAGTGGAGATTTACTTATTGTACAGTTAACAAAAGTTATCATGAGCATTGTAATGTTTATCATAAGCATTTTAAAGCAGATGTCTTAAAAAATGTCGACCAGGAATTTGTTTTTGTTTTTTTTACGAGCAGTCCATTCATACCTATGCAAGATTGCTGTGAAAATACAGACCAGACGTCAAAAGACAACGAGCGCAGTGCTGAAAAGGGGCAGGCCTACATAAGGTCAATACCTTGATTATTATTATTTATTTTTAATTTTTCAAAATTAACTCTTCATTTTTAAGTGACGTAGTATATGTAGAGTTACATGTACCTACTGTGCTGTAACTAACCCTAAACCAAGCCCTAACCTTAACCCTAAAAGTGCATCTAGTTCAATAATATTACTTTGTTTAATGTCACCATAAAAATAAAGTGTAACTTAATTTTTATCAATCGATAAATGTCAAGCAATTTCATTATGTAATTGTTATAATTTTAGGCCTTTTCAGAATTCAAAGGGATTTTTTACTGTTATTAAACCTCAAATTACTTGCCGTCAAAAATCTTTTTATGGTAAATTCCATTTACCATAAAACAATAAGATTAATTGTCCAGATAAGCTCTGGTTTTGCATTTGGGAGTGATAAGCGTGCTGTGAAGAAGGAAACATGATGTGATGTCTTATCAGCACCTTATCTCACAATGTAATCATGCTAATATCTGCAGATCAGTGTGCGTCGCCGGGGGAAATGGATAGTGCTGAGTAATGTCTCCTCTCAGTCGGTGCCGCCCATGCCAGCACTGATGTAACCGTGCCAGTAACTGAGTCTGCCGTCTCGGATATTGAGTCTGTGAGCGCACAGCCGAGCCACAGTCCCTGTGCCGTCTTTGAGACTCGAAGACAGTGACAGCCGTTCTTGTGCCCTTATACCTTATAATCTAAAACCTTGTCGTCTAGTCTCTCTCTTTTACAGAGATGAGACTCTTTTGTTGGACAGATTGTTGGATGAGCCAGTAGTTTGTTCCAAGGCTTGAGGCTTCAGTTACAAATGTGCAGTAGCTGATAAATCATATTACTTCATCACGCTGTCATTTCTCTGCAAACATAGACTCCGTAATACCATCATGATGACATGTATGCTTATCTCATGAGCTTGCACATTTTAATAAGTGGTGTGAAGTCTCAAAAGCCCCCACTGTTCCTCAGTAAGTTGCTATTTTATCCTTCAGCTCACTTATTTAGTCACTTTAATGTGAATTACATCATCTAAGTATGCGGCACAATGAATAACCACATCAACCAGGAGCTCGAACCACTGTCAGATGATGAAAATGACCGGTGATATTACCTTTCAGCAAAAATTCTCCAAATCCTTGGAATGTGGGGACATAAAGATCCGATTAGACTGATTACCTCATCATTGTTTAGAGTGAAGGGAAGGCACTGGATGACTGCATTGCTCTGTGATGGAAGGCTAATCAATTGATAGATTACGCAACTGAGATGAGTGTTGCGCTAAAGCTGTGAATGACTGTGAGTGACTCTGAGAACTAATGGGTACTGGGGTCACTGACACTGATATCTGCTTCTCAGAGATACAAAATGCCAGACATCGTAGGCAGACTTGTAGTGCTGAATTTGTCTAGGATTTCAGATTATAACATATGTTGTAATATATCATTCTAGTCAACCGGACATGTTTCTCTTTGTTTCTCTGTAGCTTAAAACGTCTCAGGCCTCATTCAAGTGACTTCTTCAGCTGGATTGATGGTGGAGGCTCCTCTGCATAACCTGGCTACACAACACCGAAGCAGTAACACTCTAAAGAGAAGATCTGGGGGGAAAAAGGTTCGCAGGTGAGTGGAGTTAAGGTTTAAGGAAGGGCCATTATTGGCCCAGTTTATATAAACCACTACAAACCAGGTTATCCAATCAGAAGTTTCCGGCCGAGACAGATAGTCTTTTACAAAATGTTGTAACTTGCATCTCAGATGCAGTTTCTGTGACCATTTTTGCAATTAGGGTCTCTGATTTTACTACATCGACATGTTTCTATAACTGTACTTTAAGACAAGTTAGGGAACCTGGAGAAGTTCCTTGAAGTCTTGGGCTTGAATATGTAAACAAAGGATGTCCAATTCTTGAGGACAACTTTCTAGGAGTTTTACTCAGCCCTAGTTAAACACATCTGAACCACCTAATCAAGGTCTTCTCTTGCATTTGTAAGACTGTTCACCACTATGATTTTGTGCTTGCAAAGTCTCTGCATGAAATCCATTCAGCACAATCGTGTTGTTCGTTAACATTGTCAGGGTCTGAATCAGGCTCGGAAAGGTTTGAATTTGACGCCATGATATATATTTGCATCTGAGTAGCCTATAGCTTGCTGTTATGGAGGGACGTTTCCTGAATACACACTAAGCGCTGCCAATCACAACAAACTGGGCTAGCTGACCAATCACAGCACATTTCGTATTTTGGAAGGAGGGGCTTCATCGAAAATTACGTGTTCAACCAGACTGGGGAGAGAGGGGCTGTAATAATGTAAAATATGTGGTAAATGGTAACACTTTACAATAAGGTTAATTAGTTAACATTAGTTAACTACATTAGTTAACATGCACAATATTTGAACAATACTTCTTCAGCATTTATTAATCTTAGTTAATATTAATTCCAACATTTACTAATACGTTATTAAAATCAAAGGTTGTGTTAACATTAGTTAATGGACTGTGAACTAACATGAATGCACAATGAACAGCTGTATTTGTATTAACTAACATTAACAAAGATTAATTAACACTTTAACTAATGCATTGATCATCGTTAGTTCATGTTAGTTAATGCATTTACTAATGTTAACCAATGAACCTTATTGTAAAGTGTTACCTGATAAATAATGTGTTTTTTGAACAATCAAGCACAAAAACATATTCTAGTACTACTGTAGTACAAAATCAAGACTTCGTAAAGGGCATGTTACTAAATGCTTCAACACTACCCTGATATGTTTTTCTAATACAATAATTAGATTACAAATAAAATGCGTTTCTGAGTCTGACCACCGTCTCACTCATGAAACTCTCCTACAACTCCAACAATTAATGTAGTCTTGTGATGCCATTGGATGCAATAAGGTTAAATGCCATGGAGTTTCACCATCAGGCCACTTTGACACTTGGATGTCTAGCCACACATGGGGACAGTTAGAGAAGTTTAAGAGGCGACTGGAGAGCTCTTGTTCCGTGGCCTATCCCCAAAGTTGGGCGGTAGGCGTAAGTAAGCAACTTGAATAATGGTGAAATGTGTTCAGATAAAAAAAAATAAAAAATAAAAAAAACATCCAGTTGACCACAATAATCTATTAGAACATTCTATTATGACCTAAACGAATGAGAATCTTTTTACATAACTTCTTGACAGGTGGCACCGCAGACCACCAGGCAACAATGTATGTGAATTCTAAAACTGCTCCACTAAATCAAACATTCATCCATGTATGACTCCTCTACACCCATGCTGGGTTGCCTTGAACCATCCCACCCGCTTGGCTATAGTGGAAAACATCCCCCTCCCTTCACTCAACCCCCCTCTTCCTCTAGCCTCACGAAAGACGTGATGACAGTGGTGTCAGCACAGGTCACAGTGATACACTGAGTCTGTTCGCACCATGCTGCCAATTCCTATTCTTTCTCCTTTTCTTCCTCCTCTCCTGTCGCTAGTTTTCTGGGTAGGTTCACAGGGTCCAAATTCCTGCCCATCAGCAGCTCTGCTTATGGCTCAGAGGTGTGGGGTTTCCACCTCTCTCGGCTTATGGGCTCACTTGATGTGGTCTTGGAGCCATACTCAAATAGGATAGCGCTTCTTTTAGGCATTTGTAACCATTTTGACCTAACTGCAGCACATCTGGTTTTTGACCAAGTGTGCAACAGAGCTACACTACTATGATGTGAGAGTTTTTAGCTCAAGGTCAGATTTTTCCGCTTTTTCATAAATGGCTCTGTGATTAAAGGTAATCCATCATTGTTTACCAGCCAGATCATCTAAATTAGTCGTTCATCTGTAAATAAAGCAGTTCAGTGGCTGATAAAAGAAAATGGGAGTTTTGGTGTAGATTAAACGCATTTGTTTTCATTCCATTACTAACAGTTCGCCAATATCTTATCATTTACTTTGACGTAGATAGTGGTGTTAGATTCATTATGGTGTCCATAGTGGTCATCTGATTTCATTAACCAAGTTTTTATTTTTGTAATAAAGTCAAAAGCAAAACTATTTTACTCATGTAAAATTGAAAAGGGATACTTTTACTGGAGTAATATTGTATTAGGGTATCTATAGTTTTACTCAAGTACTTGGTTTGTGCTCTTCGTCCACTACTGTAGGGGTCCCTCAGAAGGACTGCATGGACAGATGTGCATAGACATTTTAGTCAGTCTGCGCTAAAGAACTTAATTTCACAATAAAGTAAATATTAAGAGATAACAACTCTCCTAATTTGAGGCAACAGTGTGAGAGTAAATGCGGAAGGCAGACCCTGTAATACCTCTCAGATGGAATTCATTCTGGCTTTGCTCGACTAATGGTAGCTTTGGCTCGTCAATCTCAAATCATCATGTTGGCTCTGTCATATCGATTTTTACAGAAAGTAGCCCTAAATTGGGCTTTCTTTATCAATCGTAAGGCTTGTTACCAGGCAACAAGATGACCAAACTCACTGGCCTGTTAACACACAAAAAAAACCTCACTGGCCTTCAACACAGTCACAACTTGCTAACTGTATTTTCTTTTTATCCAGATGCTTTTTCACACTTGGTTTTTTGTTTGTTCAAGAACATATTTGTCATTTATCGAATATGTCTCAGCTCTCGCATTATACTCCTATATATTCCTACAGAACATTTTATGATGTCTTGTATTATTATGTAAATTCAGTGTGACTATAGCTGTACTTTAATATTCCAAGGATTTTAATGAAATGTCCAATTATATGTTGGACCTAGAATTCTTCAAATCAATTATTCTAGTATTAATTATGTGTTTTCTGCTAAAATGTCAAGGAAGACGTGTAAGTGGAATTCTTGACTGAGCTGTCGTGATTATATATGATGAATAATTCAGTCATTTATCATTTGTTCAGACAGGGTATGCTTATGTTTTCACAGCCAATATTTCATAGATGATTGTCTTTCCTAATTTCACTCATGAGATCTTGTCTAGTATCTTTTCCAAGGAAGTCTTTACTTCATATACAGTATATATATATATATATACACACACATGTGTAATAGAGAGAGATGGAACGAGACTGTATAATGACTTCCCCTGCATTATTCACACTCCTGGAGTTTAATTTCTGTTTGTGTGTTTACATACTTTTATTTTATGCACAGTTCATTCTACAGTTGTTCTAACACTACTTCTTTGTTGTAATAATAATTCAGCTTGGTTGTTTAGAAAAAGGAGGAGAGTGAGTAAGGGAAAAAAGGGACAATCCAGACAACCAACAAATCATCATGAAAATGTTAATGAGAAACGAAGAGACAAAAAAAAAAAAAATGGGGATGAAACACAGGCTGCCCATACAAATTACTGTAATAAGCAGATCTACATTAAGGCTGCATAATATCCCCCACTGCATGGCTTATCACAAAGAAAAGCACCCGAAACGTCTATCTGGAGTGATTCTGAATTAATGTCTCATTACTCTTAAGCATCATCATTTTTGCATTTCATATCAAAATGGCAGCAAATTACACAGTAATTAGATATTTGGAGGGGGAAGAATTGCTTCTGGCAATAGATAAAATTACATCTCGGCTCAATGGGATGTGCACTGATGTTGCCTGCAGAAGACACCAGCTATCAATCGTTGGACGTAAAGTGTGTGTGAGAGCATGTGTGTAAGGGTGACCTCACTCTATGAGCTCAGAGCACCATGCTTTACGGCTGCCACTTTATGGAGTCAGACCGCATCTTTGCTCTGCATCTGCCCTGAGCTGATCACAATCTCTAGACGCCCAGAACATTTACAACAGGCTGAATATAATGTACTGTAGGAAACTCTAGATGTCTGTTGTCAATCGATGTTGTCATGCATGCTTCCAAATGAGTGTTTCTAACATGTTGTTTATTGTTTGGATAGCACTAACTAAGCAAGTCGAGTCACTAATTTATAGCGCTTTATACTAAACAGATTGTTTTGAAGCAGCTTCAGTGATAAACAGGGAAATAATGATTCAGTGATGACAGAAAAAGTTACAGTAAGCTTGCTCATTGGGACTCAACTTACATACAGTGAAAATAATATACATGCTTGTAATAATAAACAAGTAGTTGTTGTTTTTGTAATAGTTATGCATATTATATGCATTTGTATACATTGTAGGCTTTGAGTTAATGTTTATTACATTATAATGGGACATGCAGTTAGCATGATGAGGTTTTGTTTGTGTATGCTGTCTGATTATAGATGTGAATGGTATAATCTAGGTTAATTGGGATTAATTGTATCATCAAGTCATCTGCTGGTTTAGATTTTTTTTTTTATTTGATATATTTTGCTAAATTCAGAATCGCTGGATGTAAGCTCGCAATTGAGAGAAAACACGTCAGAATTGTGTGATTAAAAAAAGTAGCAATTACTTTTTTATTCCATGTGAGAAGAAAACTTTCATATATTAGTGAACAATTTTAAGGCAGATTTTTGTTGTTCAAGTGAATTGCTAGACTGCTAGTCAAAGCTTTGGAATTTTTTGAAAAATACAATTTAAACGTGACCATTTTCTATTTAAATATTAAAATGTAATTCATGTGATGGCAAAGCTGAAATTTCAGAAGCCATTAATCCAGT